GGGAGTGGTGGGTGGATGGGGTGGGGGTGGGGGAGGAGGGATGGGGGTGTGGGGAGAGAGAGGGAGATGCCACTGCATGTGAAATAAGCTTGTTCCCTAACTTGAACAACAACAACAAAAACAAAACAAAACAAAACAAAACAAAACAAAAAACCAAATACAGAAAAAAAAAAAAAGAATAGCATGGTAACTAAAAGCAGGTGGACAGTTCCCTGGAGCTTTGGTGCACGGGTGACAAAATGAGCAGCAACAGGTCGGTGAACATAATCTACAACCTTTACCTTGAGATACATGGTGTATGTACTTGCAGAAGTCAATGAATTGTACAAATATGAGTTGTGCCTTCAGAGCTGTGGCTGTGTCTCAGTAGATAAATCGTGATGCTCATAAGGTAAAGACTGGACCCCCCCCCCAGCCAACCAGCTAGCAATGAGTTCTAGATTCAGCTGAGGGGCCTAGCCTCAATGAATATTGTGGAAAGTGATCCCTGAAGACTCCCAACAGTAATTCTGGGGCTCTACAGATACATGAACAGATGTACCCACATGCATGTGCACATGCAGACATATTCATGCACACAGTATGCACATGAGAGAAAGAAAAAGGTGTTTAGGCCCATCACTTTATGCCATCTTAAAATTATACACAGTAAAGCCTAAATCAGGCTGATGGTTGTTGTAGTTTGTTTTGTTTTTTGTTTTTTGATTTTTTTTTTCCTGTTGATGTGAAAAATGCCATGACTGAAAGCAACTTGGAAAAGAAAGGGTTTATTTCAGACTTTATTTTGAGGTCCATGGCTAGAAGGAAGTCAGGATGGTAGCTCAAGCATACACTGAAGCAAAAAGCATGGAAGAAGGCTGGTTACTGACCTACGCACTGGCTCATGTCTGCTAGCTTTCTTACATATTTCAGACTCACTTGCCTAGGGATGGATGGGGCTGCCTACAGTGGGCTGGACCTGTCATCAAGCATCAAAGATGATACAAGTAATTATCCAATTGACTTCCCAAGGGACTCTATGCTGTATTAGCTTGAAAGTAAAAACACACCAGTGAAAAATGCCAGAGTGCTTGCTGCCAAACCTGATGCTCTGAGTTCTGTCCCCAGGGCAAATAATGGTAGAAGGAGAGAACTGGATCCACAGTTTGTACTCTGGCCTCCACATGTGCACCATAGTACTGATGAGTGTGTACACACACACACACACACACACACACACACACACACACACACACACACACACAATGTTTAAAACTTTTAAATAAAATCTAAATGATACTTATGGACACTCACAGTGTCTTCAAAAACTGTGAACAAGACACTTGACTGTGAACAAGACACTTGACCATTTCTGGCTCTGAATGCACTTGCTACAGATTGGCTTTAGAAGTGAGCAGTACTTCAAGGTCTATAGAACCACTTGCAAGAACTGTGGGGAGAAGAAATGTGTTTTGACTTTTACATATGAGAAATTCATTCCTGAACAATCAGAGAGGGAGAGAGACCCTTATTCTCAAAATAACCTTTCTGCCAATTTTTCTCCTAGAGTTTCCATTTACTATGCTGGCATATATGCTTCCCTGTTGATGTGAGATGCCCCATGACCAAAAGCAACATGGAAAAGAGTTTCACAGTTAACTGGCTTTGAGTCAGGAGGCTCTGTAAGTGGGATCTTCCAGGCCCCTGCCAGGTAAGTTCAATGTTAATGCTGGTGTGGTTGCAAAATACATCCTACATGATGAGGAAGAGGAGAAGGCTGAAGCCATTAAATAAGTTTTCTTTTAAAATTTGGTTTCATTATTACCCAGAAGACCTTGCTTCCTACATGATTCTCTTAGTATTTTAATGAGAATGAAGTCTCAGATGGAAATTTCTCTCTTACTTTTGAAGCCTAGAGTTATAGCTTTACTTTTGTTTTTGTTTTTGTTTTTGTTTTTGTTTTTGTTTTTTCGAGACAGGGTTTCTCTGTGTAGCTTTGGAGCCTATCCTGGCACTCACTCTGGAGGCCAGGCTGGCCTTGAACTCACAGAGATCTGCCTGCTTCTGCCTCCCGAGTGCTGGGATTAAAGGCGTGCGCCACCAACGCCCGGCAAGCTTTACTCTTTAAATGGCTCCAAAAGTGAGTTGACACAGAACTTTTCCAGTGTCAGGTTTTGACTGACAGAGACCTAACTGTCAAGGTGCTGAAGGACAAATCTGTGGATCCAACCAAACTTGTTTACTTCAATGTTCTAAAGGGAACAATACAGCTAAGAAACAAGATCTTTCAAATGGAAATAGACAGGGTTTCTCACTTCTGGAGTCTGGGATGGTGAGTTCTCATTTCTCCCTATTGCTTCATCCCTTACCATCCCGAGGGACAGCAAGTGCCACCAGAATCTTCTGTTCATAAGGAAATCACATTTGACCCACCTGAGGTTCAAAGCGAGGTGCTTGCTTTTCCTTGGCCAACTTCTCTTTCTCGGCTGCCTTCTCCTTGCCTTTCCTTGTTGTTTTGGAAACTCCTACAGATTTCTGCCCTTCACTGGTAGCATGGAAGTCTGGGCTTCCTACGGTAGTTAGTTCTTCGTGTTTCTCTGTTGAGTTAAAGAGACATGAAAATGGAAACAAGTGAAACCCAACATGACAAGACAAATTCCCATAGAGACATGGCAAGCATGCTTCATCTACAGAGGTCAGATTATTTTCCTTGTAAGCAAATAAACAAATGTTTCATAAGAGCTGGTCAAAATTCTTTTAATAAAATTAAGATGTCATTCATACAGCATCAACTCAACAGTTGTATATAAAGCAGTGGGCTTTAGAATATTAAAGTTATGCAGCCATCAGACACTAGCTATCATGTTTGCCATCTGGGTGCCTTTTATTTCATACACTGCATAGATACACGATTCATCTATGCTGTAACCTTTACTGTTATTTCCTTCCTTTTGACTGGGGATTAATTTTCTTTTCTTTCTCGAGCTTTGCAGTTTGTTCTTTTTAACAGATTTATTTATTTTATATGCATGTGTGTGTGTGTGTGCCTGAGTGTGTGTGTGTGTGTGTGTGTGTGTGAGAGAGAGAGAGAGAGAGAGAGAGAGAGAGAGAGAGAAAGAGAAAGACTTGCGTATATGTGTATATAAGTGCCCCCAGACATAAGAAGGCATCAGATTTCCTGAAGATGGAGTTACAGGCAGTTGTGAGCAACCATGTAGTGTTCAGGCTGAACCCTGGTTCTCTGCAAGGGCAGTAAGTGTTCTTAGCTCTGAGCCATCTCTCTAGACTCCATTTATCAGGTGTTGGTGATATTTTTAGTGTAGACCACTATGTTAAGACAATGTTGTTTTCTATACATCTATAAAATCTCCACATTCATCTCTTATTGGTTTCTAGTTTTCTTCAGTTGTGATCAGAGAACCTAGCTGTATTGTTTCTATACTTTGACATTTGTTTAGACTCGTGGCTCTGCTTCATCTGCTAGCATTCTTCAGATGTTCCAATGGTTATGAGAAGAACATGTGTTCTGATGTTGCAGAGTAGAGAATTCTGTTCTCAGGTTGGGTTGCCATAGTATTCAAGCATTTTATAATCCCACTAATTTTTTGTTTAAATTTCTTTCCAATCCTTAAAGTGCAGTATTTAAATTTCCAACTAGCTGTAGAGTTGGCTATTTCTTCTTTCAGTACTAGTTTTACTGAATGCATTTTAGACACTGATGTTAGGTTCATATGTTTATAATGTTTTTGTTTTGTGAATATGTGGTCTCTTTAGCATTATAAAATAACCAGTATACTTGTTTGGGACTTTAAAATGTATTTGTGACTATTCTAGTTTTATCTGGATTACTATATGTAATGTGTGCTCTAGTCTTGTGTATTAAAACTGTTTATATATTTGAAATCAAAGGATGCCCCTCTTATAAATATATAAATATATACAGTTGGAACATGTTTTATAGTAAAGCACATTTAATTTACAATAAATATAATTACCCAAAAGGGAGGATTTATGTCTGGTATTTGGATATTTATTTGACTATGTATTTCATCTTTCAGTTCCTCTAATCTTGTTACTACATTCTTTTGCTTCAAAACCACACTTATATCTGTAGCATTTTAACTTTCTCAGCATTTTGTTTATTTTCTATTCAGTTTTATTTTCTCAGTGATGTTTCTGAATAAGGTTATAATTAAAAATCTTTTTTAACAATTAAGTTTGAATTGATACCATTTTAATCTCAATAATATACAAAGACCTTTGCTCTTGTGTTCCTTTCCTCTTGATGGAACATTTCCTGTATTCATGTTGTGTCCTTTAAATCTAGCTGATTAATTCATAGGATGCAGTCATTATCAGGTTGCTTAATTTAGTGTGCAAGGCTTGCAAGAAATCTGCATTTGTTGGCAGCATGCATGGGAATAAGCTGTGAACTGGAAACCATCCTACTGTCTCAACGTTATGGAAGGTGTGACCTCGTGGGTATGTGTTTGTAATTAGGAAGCCCTGGAGGGATCAACTTGTACATCCCTTGTGGGGAAATACTGGGGGACTACCTGTTGATGAAATGAGAAGCCCTTCATATAATTTCCTTTGGAGCCTTCCTCTACTTTTCGTGTACCCATAACATATTAGAGGGAAGTCTTCACTAGATGATGAAACCTCCACGGACATAGAAATGCACATTTGCTTTTATGATTAAGAGTCAAGAAACTGGCTGATATTTGAACATGCATGTAATTTCCAAATCTTTTTAGGGCAAAGTGCATGTTCATGTTACAGACTCTCTTTCTGGTAAGTGAAAACAGAAAACTCTTTATGTGTGTGTATGTGTGTGTGCACACACGCACGCACGCACGCACGAACACACAAATTATTTTGTGATATATCTTAAAATGCTTATTTTATATAACTAAAACTATAATCACATATTACATTAATATACAATGCATGTGATAGTTTGTTTCATTGAAGACTTTTTGACTTGTATTCACAATGCTTCACTGTGCACCTATCTCATAAAAAAGAATCACAGCAAGTGCTGTATCACATATATAAAATAACAATTATATATGTTTCAAATGATCAATTAGAACTTCAAAGGCCTTGATTATCAACATACAGAAGTGGCATGGTGACAAAAGGAGTTTAGAAAGACAGCATTACAATGGTGAAGGCAGATGCCACTGAGAGCTCCCAGCTCAAGATCTTCCTGTCTCTCATTCCCTTCAATGAAAGTCAGCCAATAATAGCAAGCCAACCATTTTAGTGAACCTTAGGTACTGAAATAAACAAAAGGTGGCACTGTTGCTGCATGGTAGCAGGAAGCCAAGTTCCTGTAAACAGCATAAACATCCCAGGTCAGATATACCTTTACATCTACATATCAGACCTGAGGGTTTTTTTTTTTTTTTTTTTTTTTTTTTTTTTTTTTTTTTTTAAGTCTGGGCTATAAGGATGTAAAGTTTTGAAAGACATCAAATCATATATTATTTTTCTCATAGGCATTAAATGGTTTAAAAGAATAAAAAATATTTTATTGACTTCAGGATGAATATAATTTTAAATCTGATCAACACAGTAACAAAAATAACCCAATCAACTTCTACATGATGAAAATAAATTTTAAAAATAATATATGTTGATAATTGAAGCACATCAAGCACTAAAGTTTTCTAAGTATTCAATATCCCTCAAATTAAAAAGCATGTAGATTTTGAGCTTTGATGTTTTAATTTAATCAAACTGACCACCTAGAATCCACATTTAAGGGCTCAGTGGGTGAAGGGGCTTGTTGTGAAACCTGATGATCAGAATTTGATCTCAAGGACCCATAGTGATGCAAGAGGGAACCAACTCCACAGGTTGCTGACTTCCATTCCTATAAGCTAAAGCAGGTGTGCATGCATGTGCACAGCACACGCGCGCTCGCGCGCGCGCGCGCACACACACACACACACACGCGCACACACACACACACGCGCGCGCGCGCACACACACACACACACACGCGCACACACACACACACGCGCGCGTGCGCACACACACACACTAAAAAAAGTGTAATTTTAAATCTATATTTTAAAACACAATTAGTAACAGTTTCTTACTCTCAACTCAAAAGCTGTTTTATTGTCAAAAGGATTTCTCAGCATCTCTCAGGTAGGACATCTCCCATTTGTTTTAAATGATATACAATTCTTCATTTCTTTGCTTACTGTTTTTCACCAATAAATAGGCAATTCAATGCAAAGCATGGCTTAATTTTAGCAATTGCTTATCCAGACATGAAATTGACAAGTGTGGTACCACAAAAACAACACATATTATGATCCCTGCAGGCCTACTTTGTTGTTGGAATATAAAAGAATGCTGATACCATTTTTTAAAATACTACTAGGAGCTGAGAACTCCCACGCATTTCCTATGTCTTCATGAGATTCTTCCAAGACAGTGGGAGTTCTTGAGGCTTTACTGGTGACAAGTTACTCCTGTTAGGCTTTGCCAGCAGAGTTTAGCTACAGTGCTGTATCTCCCCATCTAAGGAGAACTTTCCATTTCGAGGTTGAACTCACATTGTAGTTTTCACACTTTGCACACTGGGTTTAAATTAAATTTATTTCTGAACTGTGTGATGCTGTCTTACCCCGGATAGCCTAATGTGTACACACCAATTTCTTCTTCTCTCATTGCGTAGTCTTGAAATCTCATTAGGAAGTGTTTAGAAACATGTATTCCCTGTTGACTAGATCCCCACATGATTTTAATCAGGTCATTCATGTTTCTCTTTCTCTTTTTCCTTCTCTCCCTATGTTCCACTCTCTCTCTTTCTCTTCCCCCTATCACCCACCACTTCCTCCCTCTCCCTTTCCTTTCCCTGCCCCCTTCTTCCCACATTTCCCTCCCCTTTTCCCACCTCTGAGAATGAACCAAAAGCCTTGCATATGCCTGGCCTATTTGCTTCACTGACCTATTTCTCCACCTATTTCTCATGTACTCTTCTCATGAGCTCCACTTGGATAATGTGGCCCCTGTTATATGGTACATATTTGGAATAGCATGAGTATCTTAGTTATACCAAGACAGATGTAAAAATGATTATAATATGGAACCAATGAAGAGACATAGGCAACTCGTGGAATAGACCACACAGGCAAACAAGGAGGCTTGGGTCTTATTCTTTCCTCTACTATAATTCTAAGCTTCTAGGGTTCTAATTTGACATTTATTAATTATCCCAGAAGATCAAGAAGGAAGGAAGGAAGGAAGGAAGGAAGGAAGGAAGGAAGGAAGGAAGGAAGGTAGGAAGGAAGGAAGGAAGGGAAGGAAAAAACTTTGCGGAACACCGAAGCATACACAGTATTGTGCTGTTTCTCTATTATTTCTACTTATGTATGCAATTGTGAATATTTTATTTGTATATAAATCTTTAGGATAACCTATTTTTGAGACAATGCTTCACTATGTAACCCTAGATACCTGTAGTTTTGGAAACCACAATGTCCTTGAACTCACCAAGATCCACCTGCTTCTGCCTTCTGAGTGCTGAAATTAAAGATGTATACCTTCAGAGTATATATTACTATTCTTTTCTAAC